CTTATATTTTAAAAACCTATATCTTATATTTTAAAAACCTATAAATTTTGATAATTCACCATTTTCTGAAATCTGATCATGGTGAAGATGATTTATTTTTGCAAAAAATCAGCGTTGGCTGTTGCATCAACGCGAATTCATAATGACGTAATACTCTGTATATGACGAATATCATTTATACGAATATCCGCGGATTTTACACTGTGTCGAAGAGCATAAACACCCCTGTAAAAGTTATTATGCGTATAGTCTGTTACGTCTGACACGCATGTTTTTGAAGTTTTGTGAATATTTTAGTCCACATTTTAGACTATTGTAAAAAGTTCTAAAACAATTTGTTGATTTTTTTTAAACAGTAATACCTACCTAGTCTATGGATATGAATTTTATATTGACTGTACAGATTTATAGAAAAGCTGTTTATAAGTGTGGACTGGTTGATTTCACGATATTGACGCAATAACGTGCGTAACGTCACCGAACATAACGTCACATTTTGTAAACATACTGTATTGAATTATTAGAAGTCCAGATTCTCGAAATATCCATATATAAGTAAACAGAAAGATCAGAAACAATATTAGACATTGATCTTAGAAGTCCAAAGAAGTCGTTGTTATGTTAGCATGGTAGATTTAAAATATATTTATAAGTTGAAGCCTGGTAAAAATTAATATGTAAAATGAAGGTAAATCAAACGCTTACAAATTTTTTCAGATAGTTCATTCAATTTCCTCTGGTATTTAATTGTCGTTTTGGGAGTATTTGTGGAGAAGGTAAACCACTTTACTTTGGTTACATAATTTTTAAGTTTTACGGTTTTGTTTGAATTTAAAATTATTTTATTCTGCATAAATTGATAAAAAAAAGCCTTAAAAGTGTTTGAAATCTAAAATATATGCTCTGTAGAATTCATTAAAATTTCATCATTATAATAGATGCACAATCATTTTGAAAACTACGCCTTACATAATCCGTTACGCTTCGCATGCTATATTTGGTAGGGACTTGCATAATTAAACGTTAAAAGAAAAAAAAACCTACTACAGACAAAGTTTAAACTAATTTCATTGCAAGTTTAAATGTCATTTTATATATAAAAAAAAGAGCAAATAGAGTTGTTTTAGTACATTTGAAACTGTGTTCAAATAGGCCGATAGATATTACTCAGCGCCAATGAAAGCATATGTATAAAATAGGGTTTGGAAATGGGGAATGTGTCAAAGAGACAACAACCCGACCAAAGAGCAGAAAACAGCCGATGGCCATCAATTGGTCTTCAACACAGCGAGAAAATCCCGTACCCGGAAGCGGGCTTCAGCTGGCCCCTAAACAAAAATGTGTACTAGTTCAATGAAAGTGGACGTCACACTAAACTCCAAAACATATAAATGAACTTAAATTAAAACACAGACCAGACTAACAAAGGCCAGAGGCTCCTGACTTGGGACAGGCGCAAAAATGCGGCGGGGTTAAACATGTTTTGTGAGATCTCAACCCTCCCCCTATACCTCTAGCCAATGTAGAATAAACAAACGCACAGCAATACGCACCGTAAAACTCAGTTGACTGAAAGAAGTCTGAGTCCGATGTCAGAATAAGCAACAAAAGAAACTAAGCAAAATGACAATGATACATACATTAACAAAGGACTACTTACAGTTACTGACATGCCAGCTCTAGACCTCAATTAAACTGATTGAAAGATTATGTCTTTATCATATGAAAATCAAGCACAATCCCTCCCGTTAGGGGTTTAGTATCATACCATCATAAAATATATGAGAAGAACATAACCCATATCATGCCAAAAACTGGTTTTAGAATAAATGTTTTTATTTCCGATGCAAAGACCCTATGAGTGAATCAATATTAATACCAAAATATGCCATCTTTAACGACCTGACAACAGTATCGTAACGATATCCCCTCTGAATAAGTCTGTTTAAAGGTTTGGTTAGCTTTTAGGTGAATGTAGACATTTTTGTGCTTTGTATAGAATATTACCATAAAAGATTGGATGTGAAATACCTGAACGTATAAGATGTCTGCATGTTGATTTATATTTACGAATGATGTCCTTGTACCAATGATAAAATTTAGTAAATATTTTGACTAGTTTGTGATATTGAAAACCCTGGTGTAATAATTTTTCAGTAATACAGAGGTTTCTTTCGTTAAAATCAAGTACGTTGTTACATACACGAGCGAATCGAACAAGTTGAGATATATAAACACCATAAGATGGTGACAAGGGAACGTCACCATCTAAAAATGGATAATTAACAATAGGAAATGAAAAATCATCTCTTTTATCATAAATTTTGGTATTAAGCTTCTCGTTTAAGATATAGATATCAAGATCCTGGAAAGGGCAGTGTTCATTGTTAGTATTAGCTTTATTTTAAGTCAGTTCAGCAGGATAATCTCGTTAGTGAACATACTGAAGTCGTCATTATTGAGAGCCAATAGATCATCCAAATATCTAAAAGTGTTATTAAATTTTTGTATCAGATGTTGTTTAGATGAGTCTTTGCTGATTTTAGTCATAAATTGTAACTCATAACAATACAGAAACAGGTCCGCAATTAGTGGTGCACAGTTAGTCCACTCAAAAACAAAATGCGTTCGTTAATTAAAATAATGAATCGACACTCCTTATGTAGATATATAAAAAGACCCATTGCATTGTTGTTTCAACAAATCTGTCATAATAACTTGACAGGCTGTTTTCTCTCAGTATGTACTGGATAAATATGTAATAAGCCCATTCAAGACCAGGTACCTCCATAAGCCTGGAAATCTCATAGCTAGTCACATATACTGACTTGTTTTCTCTGGTCACCTTTCACAGATGTTTAATAGTTCCCTCTGTTCTCTTAATACAGATGATAACTTTGCTAACACAGGTATTGATAATGAGTACCCGTTGTCACCTTAAATATATATTGACTTTGGTTACCTTCGGTCCCCTAACACATACATTGACAATGACTACCCTTGGTCACCTAACACATATATAAACTTTGGTTGGTTACCTCTGGTCACCTTACACAGATATTAACTTTAGTTACCTCTGGTCACCTTACACAGATCTTGACTTTGGTTACCTCTAGTCTCCTTTCTAATACTTATGTTGATTTTTGTTACCTTTAGTTACTAACAAGGATGTTTACTTTGGTTACCTCTTGTCACCTGACACAAATATTAACGATGGTTATAGAATAGAATATAATTTAAAATGTCATATATACGTGTATAATGTCCCACAGGTTTGAACAGTGAATACATTTATGAAAATCATATGCAACAAATGAGCACCAATGAGCAGGGATGCGTATACATAAGTTAGTATATAAATTTTAAACGGTAGTGAATGAAAACATACTTGCATTGTTTCAATTCACAAGGATTTCAAATCCTTGCATCTCACAAAAAACGTAATAAATATTTTACAATAATCATAAAAAAATGTAATTACTACGTTTATTAATTCATTCTGTTTTAGTATGGATTTATAAGTCTCTGCTTATATTTTGTATAGCAATAAATTCATAAAGAGGAAAGTTTGAGTTTAAGAAGAGATTAGTTTGATAAATAAAATGTTCATCAGTAAATACTTGACGTTTGTGTCTATTGATATTATATACTAAATTTTAAAGGAAAAGGTTCATTAACAGGAATGTATGTTAATAATTAAATTTCAATTCTTTTGTTTTTGTTCTTAAAATGCTTAGGATTTCCTACCCCAGGAATAGATAACCTTAGATGAATTCGGCAAAACCTTTGTTTTCGAAATTTTGGGTCCTCATCAATTCCTTCCAACTTCGTACTTTATTTGGCCTTTTTAACTTTTTTTATTCAAGCGTCACTGGTGAGTCTTTTGTAGACTGAACTCGCGTCTGGCGTACAAAATTTTAATCCTGGTATCTTTTTATATCTACATATCTTTTTATATAAATTGGTTCTTTTGAGAATATGTTCCGGTATTTATAAAACTTCTGAAAATAAGATATTCTTGAAAATCAAGATTTCCTGTAAAATATTTGGATTGATTTAAGTAACTTCAGGAAATCCTTAAAATTTAAGATGTTTTATGAAACCAAAATAATTGGCAGTATATAAGAGGTCCAAATGAAGCTTGTGTGTTCCTCTCAAGAAAAAATATACGAAACCTTCTTATAAGTTGCATGCCACAGGGTTTCACTTCACACGGAAATTGGACTTTAAATTTATCTATACAACATCAACCATGAGTACAGACAGCTTCAATAACGAGTATAAGAATAACTGAAGGCATCCAGGAAACAAAATATTAAAAGATAAATGATAGATAAAATAAATGCATCCAGATTATAAAGCAAAATGAGTGCTTAAATTTATATTGCGATTGGTTTATGCAATTTGCATTAGACATCCAGTTTGCAGAAACTGGGATTTGCAATAGGATTATGAAACAATGATGTACACTCCCAAGTAATACATAAAATAGTCAAGCCTTAAAATGTAAATTCAAATAGTAGCAGTATATATACACTTTTCTATTCACAGCTATCCAACATTGCCCTCAATTGACTTGTGCAAGAATCTACACACAATTTCATATTTTCAATAAAGGTGATTTAACATCATCAGTATCTTATTCTATTCACAATCAATTATGTCAAATCAAAAGCAAACAAAAATTCAGCAGCATTTTTTTTGGTGACCAGTCAGCTGTCTCGGGTTCACGTATTGCTTTTATTTTTTTAAAGAAACTTGTTCTTTTTGTGATAACTTTAGACACTTTTCGCATTCTCATTATGCAGAACATTATAATTATACCAATACAAAATTAAGCATTTTAAAAAAAGTGGTGTTCATTTGAAGTACTTGATATTTTTTTCATTGGTCCTTTGTCTTATGTACATTTACTATTTTTCCTTTCTTTTACAACATAGATCTATATTTGGCTACATTATATGCTTATCCATAATTTTCTTTTTCCTGTATCCTTTCAGATTGTTTGAAGAAGCCCCAGAGGTTAAGCCATTGTTTAAATTTGTAGACACAAGTAACTGTAATGAAAATACCAAATTAAGAAATCACGTCAAAGGTGTGTTCGAAGTTGTTGGTGTAGCAGTTGATACGATCGATGATTTAACGAAGCTTAGTTCGATAGTTGTCGATCTTGGCAGCCGACATTTCCACTACGGAACCAGGAAAGAACATTTACCGGTATGTATTTATTGTTACCCGTTGGTATCTTTCGCCTCTCTTTTGCGTGTACCGGACTTCTTTTGATATTCATTTTTGTAATATGATAATACTTTTAATTATTTTTCATAGTTACCAAGTAGCATCAGCGAGCTCTTTCATTCAAGGAAGGATATCAAAATCAAACGTTTATATTCGAACACAACTGAGAACAAAACTCGCACACTGAAGCATTGAAACATAATAAAAATCTATATCACAAGTAACACAAGGTAAGACAAAGAAAGATAGAAAATATCTGTACAACGATCATAAAACAATAGTTTGTTTATATCAAGAGCTACTATAAGGGGTAAACTAGATCCGCAGAGTGATTTACATAATATGCCATTGGTTTGGTATACTATATGTATTTTAAGGAGAAACACGAGGGTTTAATGAAATATTCCACGATAAAACTTGTATTTTATGTTAAATATGTTAAAACGGTCCTTAATAAATCTCCTTTAGACGATGCTTGATATTACATCAGAGAAAACAATTCCTACAAAAAGGGAGACCAAAAAACCAATGGAAAGTTATCGGACACAAATTAAAAATAATGGTCTTTTTGGTTGTTTTTTTTGTGCAAAAATATGCTTGTCGAATGCTTCGGAAGAACCACAGTATTTTATGTACAGAAGGGTCCATCATTTGGATGCTTCTGATCTTTTATCAGGCATGATTTACTAGATAAAAGGAGATGTGGGTATGCGTCAATAATGCAGCAACCAAACAACAAAACAAAAATGGAACGTAAATCATTTGGTGCTTTACCAGCTGTCCGACAATCAAGTTTGATTTAAAGGCAAAAAGCATCTCTGAGTGATTATAATACCAATCTGTTATTTTCAGGTTGTCGGCAAATGCTTGATACACGCCCTATCCGAAGGCCTTGGTGATGAATTTACAGAAGATACAAAAAATGCTTGGCTTTCCTTTTATAACTGGTTGGGAGGTTGTTTCGCAAAAGGAGTTTCAACAGAATCTCGGAAGAAATAGTTAATTTCATCTATCAATTTTTTATGTCACATAACTGTCATTAAGTAATACTGTAGAAGTGCGGTTCAGTTTTATAAATTGCATTACTGTGTTGAAATATAACTGCTACTTAGAAAGACGTTGGTTGATAAAATCAAAATAAATAATCATCATCATTAGTTGATTTTTTTTACTTCAACGTATTTCTTAATTTCATCCTTTTAATTCTCTCTCATAAATTCGAATTTTCCTCCGAATTCAAAGCATGTCATCTATATTCGTAACAATCAAAAGGAAAGGCACGCTTTGTTTGCTCGCATGAAGATTATTTTCTGTGCGATTCAATATCTATTAAATAAAAAAATATCACTTCAAAACACTCAATTAAATCAAACACAAACCAATACATATAGATTCTTACATTGATACCAGTGGATTATCGGATTTATCCAATCGAGATAGTTAAATTATCAATTTTAAAGTCCGAGCCTTGGCGAGGACTTTAAAGTTTATAATTTAACTATCGAGATTGGATAAATCCGATAATCCACGAGTAATTATGTAAGAATCTGTTTCTCTAATGGTTAAAAAATAAATTTTCCTTTTTTGCTAAACTAAAATCCCCTTCGAATGCCTTCCACTTTCCATAAAGTTGTCAATTTCATTAACACCTGTTAGCATGTTTTGATGCATCCAGTGAGCTGAGAAAGGTTATGACCCTTAAACTCATCCAATCATCATCTGAGATCACTGGCAACCACACGTTGATAAAAAAAATTTTATACAATGGGTTCGGAAAGGGATAAATTTCCATAGAATTAGAGAATACTGTTTATACTACATCAATACAATTATATACTATAGATCAATGCAATATACTATACAGAGCATGTGTTACTTTGTATACTTTTTATCGGGCTTATATGCATGATCAAGAACATTAAAAAAAAACACAAAATCCAAAATAGAATTTTAGGAACAAAACAACATATCCTTGACGATCCAAGGATTTTTGCTGTCCCTTATTTTCCTAATTTATTGAAAAACGACTGAAAGTGGTCATTAAGAAAAAGAAATGTCAGCAGTAAAAAAAAAGTGGTAATCCCATGTGCCAAACGTCATATACCATCTTTAATAAAAGAAAGGTCTGGAAACAGCTTGACATATCGTGTGGACACCTAGCTATTGGACTCTTTTGATTGTTTCAAGTTGTAACGTTGAAGAACTGTCTCATTGATTTACATCCCACATTTCTCTTTTTTTTGCCAAGCTCTAAATCGCTCTAGACAATTTTGAACAAATTGAATATATGATCTAACATAAATTCCAAATTCTTATATTACCTATTATCTTACCTCCTATAGATTTCTGGGGATATGATTGGTTAAAGGACTACACGTGGTGACTACATATATTTGATATAGGTTGTCCTAAAAAATATGGGGTTAGTTACCATATGGGGTTAATAAGGAGTTACTTCCCTTTCAAAACAAAAAAGAAAGGTTTCAACAGACGAAGAAATTGATAATGAACGATTGAAATAAATTCATAAAACAAATTTGAAGCTAACAAATTGTTATTGTTGGCATTTGTTTTTTGTATAGATAAATGGAAGTAGCTGGCATGTCAGTAACTGCTAGTAGTCCTTTGTTAATTTATGTATCATTGTCATTTTGCTTAGTTTCTTTTGTTACCTATTCTGACATCGGACTCGGATTTCTTTTAAATTGAGTTTTACTGTGCGTATTGCTGTGTGTTTGTTTTTTTTAACATTGGCTAGTGGTATAGGGGGAGGGTTGAGATCTCACAAAACATGTTCAACCCCGCCGCATTTTTGCGCCTGTCCCAAGTCAGGAGCCTCTGGCCTTTGTTAGTCTTGTATGTTTTTTAATTTAGTTAATTTATATGTTTTGGAGTTTAGTATGACGTCCTGTATCACTGAACTAGTACACATTTTTGTTTAGGGGCTGTATTCTGCTCTTTGGTCGGGTTGTTGTCTCTTTGACACATTCCCCATTTCCATTCTCAATTTTATCTGAATACTAAGTATTGAAGACGTAATCACTTTGATAGGCCGCTAGTCTAAATACCACATGTGAAGATAGTCGGCAAGATAAACTCGTTACAAGGTGTGCTAGTGACCTAATCATGACGATATATATGGGGTCAGTAAATTCCATATGGGGATTCGAGCTTCGCTCTCACCCCCATATGGAATTTACTGACCCCTGTGGCACCGTTAAAGTCCATAATTCCTCTAAAGTCCACAACAAATTTCCGCTAAAGTACACAACGCCGCTTAAGTCCACAAACTTTCCGCTAAAGTCCACAAAATGACCTCCGCTAAAGTCAACAAGAAAACGCCGTTAAAGTCCACAATAACAAGTGCCGCTAAAGTCCACAAAAAAGCTCCGTTAAAGTCCACACATTTTTTTTTATTATTAAAAACATCAATTCGTTTTTTTTTATCCCGCTAGTACAATACAAAGCATGGGCCTTTCTTCTCGGTAGTTATTTGTTTATCAGTTTGATAAATGAGAAAAGTACAGTATCTGTAGATGATTTTGTTCCATTAGTTTTGATCTTTGTATTATGATCAGATGATGATGGCCAATTTGGACATCATTTCTAAAAAGTTCGTAAATTCGTTAGTTATTAACCTAAGTACATTATTACTACATTTTTCAAATACTGTTTTTTTTCTTATTCTTTGCATATGATCACTTTTTGACGTAACTAATGTACAAAGCAAACGTGCCTCCTAATCTATAACATTTGAACGGCATTCATTCGGACAACAATCTTGATTATGATTATAAACAAACAAATACTAAGTATATGAATCCCCAAAGGTCTCCTGTCACAAAACTTTTAACTAACGTTAAACGTTACTAATTTCGGTGTTGGTTATAGAAAACAACGAAAAATAATGTGTTATGATTTTCAGAACGGAAAAATGAAGCCAGTTTGATAAATTCTAAATAAAAAAGAAAATATTCTATGCTTTAAATTATATTTTTATCGATTAGTATAGGATATCGATGCGTTGAATGGGTGTCTACCAAAATGTCACAATAAAACCTGATTTGAGGACATTTCAATGAGACAGCAACTCAACAATAAATGTAATACATATTTACACCACTCTTCCGGAAACCAAAGTGGAAATTTAAATATTACTTGCATCAAACTTGTATAACATTAATATCAGTTAATAGAATATTGATTAGTTTTTGATCTAAAATGAATTTACACAAACTTTCGCACAAAAGTGTATGTGTTGTACTGTTTCGTCACTGTTCCAGGTTAGGGAAGGGTTTGGCGCCAGCAAAGTGTTTAACTTCGCCACATTATGTATGTGCCTGTCCCAAGTTAGAGACCTGTAACTCGTTGGCTGTCGTTTGTTGCTGTATGTCATATTATTTTCCCGTTTATTGTTATGGAAATATATCATGCCGTTACTTTTCTCGTTTGAATTGTTTAACCTATTTTTCTTTTATTTCGTGCCCTTTAAAGCTTACCGTGAGGTATCGATTGTGCTCATTATTGAGGGCCGTACGGTGATCTATAATAGTTGTTAAATTCTCTGGTAGAGAATAATCTCATCGGCAATCTTACCACATATTTTTCTATCAGTTAAATAATTTCCGAGGCCCGGTTTGCCGATCGATCTAAGAAGTATTATATCTACAGTAATCACTAGGATGTCAACACCGAGGTTGTAAATTCGATGAACCCCTCTCGATGCAAAGGCGTTCGACTCCAATCCTTATTAACTACTTCTTTATTGTTCCGTACTCTCTTATTTAAAACAACATATTGTTGTCTTATTCCTTACACTCACTTCATTTGAACTTTGGTGAAGAGTTGTCCCATTGGCAATCACACCACATCTCTTTATATTTTATAATGACTGTTTACTTATTCCGTACTGTTTTCTATGTACTATTTTCGTTAACACATGACATGGGTAAAATCTCTTTGTTCTTACTGTGCTATAATCTGGATAATGCACAGCTAAGGCGGACCCTGGATTTTGAAAGGGATGGGACTTGATTCCATAAAATTAAAAAAAAATATCTATTTTATAATATTTTGTGTACAATGTAAATCTTATACCTTTTTAGTCACTATTTTGCGATCGAATTTAATGAGGATCATTTTTAAGTTTGTACCAAAACAGCGGGGGAGGGAGTAAGCTGCAGATCAATTGTTAAGATGCGACATGTCTTCAAAAATGAATTCAGTAGACACAAAATAAAGGGGGGAGGGGAAGTCAAAGATTGAAAAATGAAACATTTTTTTTCTGTTTACTTAATATTTTAAATTAAGGTACATTTCTTCTCGATTCATCTTCTTCTAAGCATATTTTTGAGGGAAAGAAAGGCAATTAATCTATACCCAATAACCCGTTGAGTTATGATTTTTGATACACCGATTTAAAAGGTATGTAGCAAACTGAACTAAAACTGAGAAGATGTAGGTTATACGTCAATAAGACAGTAATCAAACGACAAAAACAAACTAATGACTACTAAAGGGCAACATGTCGTATAGTTTAAAAAAAAAAAGGTGTTTACACAATATGTCAATTTTTAAATAAAAATTGTGAATAAATTTAACAGAAACAATGAAAAACATTCTTACATCAAACTGCAATTCTCCAAAAAATGTAACAATTTAGGAAAAAGCCTAAATATAAAAAAAATGTTAATTATTTAATACTTACCAACCTTTAACTGCATTACAGCGTATTTCCCCCCTTTCTTTGTCCTACAAGAAACTTTCCTAGGAGCCGTGGATTGCGGAATATCGTCCGCATATTTCCAAAATGTTCACGTAAATTGATGACGTAATGTGTTAAAACAGTTATTAGCCAATCAAATCGGTATATATATGGTGTAATCTGCATGGCTCGGGTTGACCTTTTAACCCGAACTCCTACGTCGTTCTGGTTAATTAGGGTCACCCGAGCCGTGCAGAATAAATCATATATACCGACCTGCTTGGTGAATAACTATAACATAAAAACAAGAATGTGTCAATAGTATACGGATGCCCCATCCGCACTATCATTTTCTATGTTCAGTGGACCGTGAAAATGGGGTAAAAACTCTTATTTGGCATTACAATTAGAAAGAATATATCATAGGAAACATGTGTACTAAATTTCAAGTTG